CCCTACAACTTGAATAAGTAGAAAGAGAGCAGCAAAAGAAGCTCTTGGGCTCCAGAAGAAAGGAAATAACAAGAATTAGAGCACAATTAAATGAAATAGAGAATAGTAAAACAATTGAAATATTAACAAGACCAAAAGCTGGTTCTTTGAAAAGATCAACAAAATGATAAACCATTGGCCAAACTGACAAAAGAAAAACAGGAGAGGAAGCAAATAATCCGTATAAGAAATGAGATGGGTGATATCACAACAGACCCAACTGAAATTAAAAGAATCATAAATAGAATACTATGAAAAATTGTACTCTGACAAATTTGAAAACCTAGAGGAAATGGACAAATTTCTAAAAACTCACTACCCACCTAAACTAACACAAATAGAGGTAGAATAACTAAATAAACCTATAACAAAAGAAGAGATTGAAAAGTTAATTAAAAAAAACTCCAACAAAAAAAAGCCCTGATCTGGACAGTTTCACTGGAGAAGCCTACCAAACTTGGAGAGAAGAGTTAACACCACTAATACTAAAGGTAGTTCAGAGAATAGAAAAGGATGGAATATTCCCAAACTCATTCCATGAAGCCAGCATAACCCTGATACCAAAACCAGGGAAAGACACCACAAAAAAAGAAAATTACAGACCAATATCCCTCATGAGCATTGATGCAAAAATCCTCAACAAAATTCTAGCCAATAGAATTCAGCAACATATCAAAAATATAATTCAGGACTCGGGCAGACATGGCTGTGGCAGCATGCTTGTCCGTTTTCCCATTCTTGCCTATTCTGTGATATTCTTTGGACTTGGGCAGACATGGCTGTGGCAGCATGCTTGTCCGTTTTCCCATTCTTGCCTATTCTGTGATATTCTTTGGATTTGGGCAGACATTCTAGCTCTGGCAGCATGCTTGTCCGCTTCCCACTTTTGTCCTTCTGAATATATGCCAAATAAAACTTTCTTTTTACTTAAAAAATATATACATATATATAATTCACCATGATTTATACCAGGTAGGCAGGAATGGTTCAACTTTAGAAAAACAATCAATGTAATCCATCACGTAAATAAAACAAAAGACAAGAACGACATGATCTTATCAGTCGATGCAGAAAAGGCATTTGACAAAGTCCAACACCTATTCATGATAAAAACTCTCAGCAAAATAGGAATAGAAGAGAAATTCCTCAACATAATCAAGGGCATTTATACAAAGCCAATAGCCAACATCATCCTAAATGGAGAGACTTTGAAAGCATTACCCTCGAGAACGGGAACCAGACAAGGATGCCCTTTATTACCACTCTTATTCAACATTGTGCTAGAGGTGCTAACCAGAGCAATTAGGCTAGAAAAGGAAATAAAGAGCATCCAAATTGGTAGGGAAGAAGTCAAAGTATCTCTGTTTGCAGATGGTACGACCTTATACACAGAAAACCCCAAAGAATCCACAAGAAAACTACTGGAACTAATGGAAGATTTCAGCAAAGTATCAAGATACAAGCTAAACATACAGAAATCAGTTGGCTTCCTCTACACCAACAAAGAGAACTTCCAAGAGGAAATCACCAAATCAACACCATTTACAATAGCCCCCAAGTAGATAAAATACTTAGGAATAAATCTAACCAGAGACGTAAAAGATCTGTACATCGAAAACTACAACACTACTGCAAGAAACCGAAAGAGATGTAAATAAGCGGAAAAATATACCTTGCTCATGGATAGGAGGACTAACCATTGTGAAAATGTCAATTCTACCCAAAGCAATCTACAGATACAATGCAATCCCAATCCAAATTCCAACGGTATTTTCTAATGAGATGGAGAAACAAATCACCAACTTCATATGGAAAGGTAAGAGGCCCCAGATAAGTAAGGCATTACTCACGAAGAAGAACAAAGTGGGAGGCCTCACACTACCTGATTTCAGAAACTATTATACCACCATGGTAGTCAAAACAGCCTGGTACTGGTACAACAACAGACACATAGACCAATGGAACAGAATTGAGAATCCAGACATAAATTCATCCACGTATGAGCAGCTGGTATTTGACAAAGGCCCAAAGTCCGTTAATTGGTGTCATGGATTGAATTGTGTCCCCAAAAAATATCTGTCAACTTGGCTAGGTAATGATTCCCAGTTTTGTATGATTGTCTACCATTTTACCATCTGATGTGATTTCCCTCTGTGTTGTAAATTCTATCACTATGATGTAATAAGATGGATTAGGGGCGGTTATATTGATGAGGTCTACAAGATTACATAGTGTCTTAAGCCAATCTCTTTTGAGATATAAAAGAGAGAAGCGAGCAGGGAGACATGGGAACCTCATACCACCAAGAATGAAGTACCAGGAGCAGAGTACGTCCTTTGTATCTGAGATTCCTCCGCAGAGAAGCTCTCAGACCAAATGAAGATCGATGACACGGACCTTCCTCCAGAGCTGACAGAGAAAGCGTTCCCTGACGTCCTAAATTTGGATTTGTAGCCTACTGGACTGTGAGAGAATAAACTTCTCTTTGTTAAAGCCATCCATTTGTGGTACTTCTGTTATAGTAGCACTAGATGACTAAGACAGAATTTGGTACCAAGAGTGGGGTCGCACTCCGGCAGATACATGGAATATGGGGACGATTTTGTGGCTGTGAATGGATAGAGGAGTGGCAGCGACAGAGGACCAGCAGTGGCAGAGAGGCTGCAGCGGCAGGGAACCGGCAGCAGTAGAGTTTCAGGAGACCATCGCGGGATGGCGCCTCTGGGCACTTATTGGCAGAGCTGGGCTTGCCGACTCACGGAGCGGGAGAGCTGAGTGCCTGTGCGCAGAAGGCTTCCTGGAAGAGTGGGATGCCTCCGGGCACTTACCAGTGGAGCTACAGAGCTTTGGAACACTTGTCCCAGCAGGGCAGATGCGGGCGTGAGGCCCAAGGAGCCGACAGGCCAGGAAACCAGGAAACAAAAGCTGAAGAGACAAGAGACACAAGAAGCCAAGCTGCCTCAGTCTCAAAAGGTATGGCCATGACCTCGGGGGTTTCAAAGGGTGGGACCACGGCCTCTGGTGTTTCTAAGGGTGGAGTTGCCACTCAAGATAGACTAAGCAAATGATGTGCCTAAAGCCAAGGGAACAGAGTTGCTGTCCCAGTGGTATTCACACAGTGGAATACCATGCAACGATAAAGAACAACAATGAATCCGTGAAACAACATGGAAAAATCTGGAAGGCATCATGCTAGGTGAATTTAGTCAGTTGCAAAAGGACAAATATTGCATAAAACCACTATTAATAAGAACTCGAGAAAGGGTTTAAACACAAAAGAAAACATTCTTTGATGGTTATGAGGGTGGGGAGGGAGGGAGAGGGTTATTCACTAGCTAGTTAGTAGACAAGAATTATCTTAGGTGAAGGAAGGACACACTACAGAGGATGTTAGCAAAACTGGACTAAATCAAAGCTAAGAAGTTTCCTGAATACAACCAAACACTTCGAGGGACAGAGTAGCAGGGGCGGAGGTCTGGGGACCATGGTTTCAGGGGACATCTAGGTCAGCTGGCATAACAAAGTTTATTAAGAAAATGTTCTGCATCCTACTTTGGTGAATGTCCTCTGGGGTCTTAAAAGTTAGCAGGCAGCTATCTAAGATACATCAATTGGTCCCAACCCCCTGGAGCAAAGGAGAATGAAGAATACCAAAGACAAGGAAAATATTAGCACAAGAGACAGAAAGGGCCACGTAAACCAGAAACTGCATCAGTTTGAGATCAGAAGAACTAGATGGTATCCGGCTACCACCAATGACCGCCCTGACAGAATACAACATAGAGTCCCTGACGGAGCAGGATAAAAGTGGGGTGCAGAACTCAAATTCTAGTAAAAAGACCAGGCTTACTGGTTTGATTAAGACCGGAGGGACCCCAGAATACATGGCCCCTGGACTCTCTGTTAGCCCAAAACAAAAACCACTCCCGCGGCCAACTCTTCAGACAAAGATTAGACTGAACTGTGAGACATAAAATGATATTCATGAGGAATGTGCTTCTTAGCTCAAGTAGATACACGAGACTAAATGGGCAGCTTCTGTCCAGAGGTGAAATGAGAAGGCAGAGAGGGTCAGGAGCTGGTTGAACAGACACGGGAAATCAGGAGTGGAAAGGAGGAGTGTGCTGTCACCGCATAGGGAGAGCAATCGGGGTCACATAACAATGTATGCATAAATTTTTTTATTAGAGACTAACTTGAATTGTAAACTTTCACTTAAAGTACAACAACAACAACAAAAACTCTATACACAAAGGTTGGGGGAGCTTCCTGGGTTGCCAATATTCCTTGCACGTTATTTCCACACATCAACGCCAGGAGTATAACGTGTCCTTGAGGACATGGAAGCTTCACGTTTTGAACTATCCCAGTCCTAGACACCTCACCCTATGTGTCTATCCTTTTGGCTGACTCTGATTTGCATTCTTTTGTTGTAATAAAACTGTAATCGTTAAGTATAGCACTTTTCCTGAGTTCTGTGAATCATTCTAGAAAATTACTGAACCTGAGGGGATGGGGTAACTTTCAAATTTGTAGCCAGCTGGTTAGAAGTGAAGCTGAGTTAGAGATTTCCTAACTTGCATCTGGTGTCTGAAATGAGAACAGTCTTGCCCAATTCCAGGTACTGTCCAATGAACTTCTGCGCATTGTGCATTGTTTTGTAACATTTGCCGTACGGGTGACTCAAAAGATATTTGCTACTGATGATAAGTATGCAATAAAATACTTGTTAAATAAATATATACCAATATGAGCACAACATCAATAGCACTGATAAAACATCTCCATTTGTTGAAAACTATTTTAAACGTAGGAACAGTAGTTTCTCTCCCCCCCATACCCTGAATAGAACACAACCCATCTTTCCTCAAAGTGCAAAGCCAAGTTATAATTTAAATTAAGATTATTTAAACATTCCAAACAATATCAAATAGAGGTTTTAAAAAATTATTTCTACTGACCTTGTAAGAATGTAAGGCGAAAACGAAGCTGGATTATCTTGCTCTGAAAAGAGCGGCATGGATCCTCCCATTATCCACAGACGGAAGTACAAAACTACAATCACCTTCAGAGAACAAGAAGATGCGGTGAGAAAATAAATGCTCGCTGGGGATAAGTCCCATCTTTCTGAAGGATACCTCTCAGGTGCTTTACAAGTATCTTGTTTTGCAAACACTTACAGTCAGCATTTCTAAAATCCTAGCATTCAAGATGAGAGGAAAGAGCAGAAATAGCTGGGTAGGGAGAACAGTAGGCAATGAAGGTGATGAGGAAGAGATATGCAAATTCATAACAACAGCTGTGAGTATTAGTCACTTGGTAGCTGTTATCCACTGTAGTAAAAGCTTTACATCTCACCTGAAGCCTCATAACAAACCTAGAGGTAGATGAGGAAGATGAGGCTCAGAGGTAATTTGCCCAGGGTCTCACAGGTTCTAAATAACAGAATCCAGGAGTTGAACCTATGTTATTGACCTTCAAAACCCAAACTCTTACCCATTCCACTTACACAGCCCCATGAAAGTTAATTTAAAATATGATATGTGATATTACTGCTGTGTCTTGAATGAAAACACTTGGGAGCAATTCCAGTCCTCGAATGCCCTAAAGCAGAGTGCTCATAAAGAGTTATTTCAACAAACCCCAGAGAATGACTTTTATTCACCCTATGGAATTTTATCACTGAAATGTGTTTCTGTTGGTAAGGTGGGCAAGAGAACCATGGACGACAGAGACCCTTCTGTGGGGATGAGTTTTGTTTATAGTAGAATTCACCCACACAGACCTCCTAGGTGTAATTCTCAATTCAATTAGGGCCAATTACATTGCTTCTGTTTAAATCAGAGGGAAATCTTTGCCTGAATAAAAGCTCAAGGATTAAGTTTTGGGTAGTTAAGGTTGAATTTTTTTTTCACGAATATCACTGACTTATTTGATGATTGTCTTTTACATAAGTGACCCCAAATCCAAAAAACTTAGAATGACTATATGGAGACAACCAAAAGCATATCAACAAAAAATAATTTCTAAGCAGCAATTTAAGGTCATCTTAATTTCATACTCACACAATGCCCTGCTATAGGGTTGATCAAGGTGTGCGCAAATTTTCAAACTGATTTTAAATTCTTAAAGATATTATAATGGTAATGACAACTACAGAATTAACAGGTAAAGCATCCTAAAAGAATATGAATTTACTAAAAATATTATGGAGGAGAAAAAGCTCTGATACTTCAACAAATCAAAAGAATAGGGAGAAAAATAGTAAAAAGGACTTTGAGAAAAAATTTAAAGAGAACAAAATGATTAATATTTGACAACTTTTATCATAGCAATAATGTGAAGTCAATTTCATTCCCAAACAACTCTAAGAAAACAAATCACTCTGGAACAGGTGTCGACTCTTTAATTCTATGCAAAAACACTACTTTAGAGAAATTCTTTTGCTCCTTTTGCTGAAACTTTCCAGTCAAAGATCTCCACTTCATTCAGTTTATGCACATTCATCTTTTTCCATCAACACATTTTAGTGTTGAGAAAAATAATCAAATTAATTGTTAACACTGCAACTGAAAGACATTTTGATAAGTTTCATATAAAAACATTATAAATTTTGATAGGAAACTTAGGACAAACAGCAACATCATAAGAGACTGGTCTCCTAATTCACTGAATAGGACCATCCGACAACATAAAAGGATGATTAATGTGATAGCTGCCAAAGACAGCCACCAAAAATTCCCGCTCTCTTATACACACATCTTGCTCCTCTTACTAAGAAATGGAGTCAATTTTCCTTCCCCTTAAATCCGGGTTGTTCTTTCAACTTGCTTTGTCCCTTAGAATGGGGTAGAAGGTACACTGTGCCAGTTATGGGCCTAACCTTTGAGGAGTCCTGCAACTTTTGGTTTGTTCTTTTAGAACCCAGCTACTATGCTGTAAGGGAGTCCTGACTATCCTGAGAGAAAGGCCACATGGAAAAGTCCTCAAGGATGAACTATCACAGAGAGAGAGAACAAGGTGACCTAGCCTAGCTGACAGCTGAATGAACTGGTTTGGGTAACCTCAGCCAACAATCATGATGAGCCAAAGAACCATCCAAATGAGTACTGTCCATCTAGGGCAAATAAATAGTTGTTGTTGTTTCAAGCCACTAAATTTTGGGGTGGTTTGTTACTTAGCAACAGAAGATAGATATGGCCAGGTTTGTGTTGCCTCTTCTTGAGACCACCTCAGCATCTGCAGCATGAAAGGGACTTGTAACATACCGTAGTTCACACTGTCTGTGTGTCATTAAGTTTGTATATACCTAGAATCCTTCCATATATAACTTCTAATGCTTTGTAACATTTATGGCATAGAAACGCTTTGATACCAAGATCATATTGTTAGAATCTATTGCTAACTCTATTAAATAATCCAGAGCATGTCTCTGAACCAAGTAAAGTAGAAATATTTCTTATCAGATATCTCAAAAGCACATATATATATATATATATATATACATGTACTTACATAACTTATGACCAAAACAGCCCTTTTTAAAAATGGCTTCATGGTAAGCAGGAAATTTCTATTGCTGCTTGCTGTTAGATTCCTGAAATAGGAAAAGAAAAACAATTCTTAATTAAGTGTCTAAGAGTCTGCCATACATAACATTCTGCTTTCAACATGAATATGCTGTAGCCCTACAAAAGGCTATATAGGACGGAAGCTAAGAGCATGGCTTCTGGAGCTAGATCTCCTAAATTTCAATTACTCTCTAGAAGACCTTGGGAAAGTTCCTTAACCTCTCTGCATCTCTGTTTTTCTCAGTTCTAAAATGGGGATAATAACAGTATCTATATCATAGGACAGTTGTTAGAAATAAATCAGATAATATATGGAAGAGGAGCTAGCACCAAAGCCAAACCCACTGTCAGAGTCTATTCCAACTCATGGTGACCCCATGTGTTACAGAGTAGAGCTGCTCCATAGGGTTTTCTTGGCTGTAATATTTATGGAGCAGATCCTCAGGCCTTTCTTCCCTGATGTCACTGGGTGGGTTTGAACCACCAACCTTTAGGTTAGTAATTGAGCACAAGGAGCTAGCAGAGTTAGCTGTAAATATTACTATCCCTTCTATTCCCAAATAACCCAAGCATTCTGGCAATGGATTGGTTTTATATGGTCTTTCTCACCATGGTCTTGTAACTCCCACCAAATGACTAGGTGGGACTATTCAAATAAGGTGCTTGGCCCACCAAGGGGACTGGGTAGCTAGCTAATAATGCAAATAAGGTGCACGTCACCCTTGTGGGAGTGGGACCATGCAAATAAAGTGTAGGGAATCCTAATGAGGGGATTAGTTAGTTTTGCTATCCCCCTAGGCTTTAAATGAGTCACCCCAGAGGCAGAAAGGGGGGCCTCACTACCACCAAGAAGAAAAGACAGGAGTGGAGTGTGTCCTATGGACCTAGGGTCCCTGTCCTGAGAACCTCCTAGACAGACAAAGAGAGCTGTAATGCCAGAGACAGCACAAGACAGTGAGAAGCAGCAGAAGACAGACAGTAGCAGCAGAATCAGGAGACTGGTGCAAGATGGGTCGGGAGATGATCCATGGAGCGAGAGAGCTGACTGCCTTCGGGCAGGAGGCTTCCTGGCAGAGTGGGGTGTCTCTGAGCACTTGTCAGAGGAGCTAGGCTTGCTGACCTACAAAGCTAGAGAGCTGAGCACCTTTGGGCCGAGGCTTACTCATGGAGTAAGGGGCCTCTGGGCACTTATCGGTGGAGCTAAAGAGGTTTGTAACACCTGCCCAAGCAGGGCAGGGGCCGGGCTGGCCCGAGGGGCGAAGGGCCGAGGGGCCAAGGGCCAAGAGGCCAAGGGCCCGGGACAGGCTTGCCTGTGGGCACAGCCAAGAAGCTGTCCTGACTAAGAACCCTATCCTGAGTCATCCTGAATTGTAACCTTTCACTTCCCTAATAAACCCCATAATTGTAAGTATTGTCTGTGAGTTCTGTGTGGCCATTGCAATGTATTATCAAACCCAGTACAGAAGTAGAGAGTGCCGTGGGAGGGACGGTTGGTGTCAGAACTGGTAAAAAGGTTGGAGGGTAGAGGTATGTTTGACCTCCACTTCACAGGAATCAGCCTTGGGCTGTTGATGTTGATAGTGATTCTTCCCCCTCGTGAGGTTAGAGGAGGTCAGAAGCCCCTGCACCATCTTTATATATGGTTATACTGGTCACAAGGATGATCTTAAACAAAATAAGAGTTTGCTTACCTACTTAATGTAATTTGAGAGAGACAACATAGGTCCCCTCCATCCACAAAATATTTCACAAATCTGTTTTATGCCTTTAAAAAAGGAATACTAAGGTCACGTTGAGGTTAAATAATTTTTCCAAGGTTACAACATTAGCAAGCATCAGTACTGGGAGCGGAGCTCACCACTCTCAACATATAATTTTCTTGTCTGCCTATGTCCTTTAGAATCAAAGTAGGTTACAAGAATTTCATCTTCTGGAGGGGCAGGAACCCTCTGTGGACCCTGCATCTGCCACAGCCCACTCACTGGTACAAAGTAATAGCTCAGTTTATCTACATATACAACATATGACTGGCTGACCCAATAAAGACAATCAAAGGGAAGTAGAAGGAGGCTATCAACAAATACCAACTGAAAACCTAAAGTGAGTCATTTTCACCCACATGCAAATTTCTACATTTTAAAGTACAGAGAAGAGGAAAAAAGAAAAGTTGAATCAAATCACAAAATCTTGCAAGCATTTTCCATCTCATCCTTATTTCCCCTACCCTTTATTCTTATTTGTCTTTTCTTTTACTCTTTTCAATCCGTTTTTTTCCTCAAAGGAATTTTCCCCAGCATCTCTTAAAATCTGTATTTGAATGAGGTCTCTTTACACAGTGGAAAAGTTCCATAAGGAGATAAATTCTTTTGTAAGGCCTGAAGTTACCAGAGTGGGTTAGTACTTCACAAAGAAATGTTTACCTTGATGACTGCAGACAAAATATAGAAGGCCCTCTGTGTTTTATAATGGTTAAATGTGTCCAAATGGCACTACAAGGAGATGACAGTCTCTCTCAGAAGCAGTTATCCACCTTCTCAGTTCCCTTCTCTTCCTGGTTCATAAACAGATGTGAAGTGATACATGCTCAGAAGCCCTAACCATTCAAGTATTTAATGTGTGGAGAAAATGAGGTGAGTCTGAATATCACTAGAGTAAGCTTTTAGCAAGCTCTGGACTGGATCCATCTCCAAACACTCAATTTACATCCCTTTCTTCTCCTTTACCTCCCAACAGAGAGCTTGGCAAGGAGGAAGACCAAGGATACTGTCAGCTCTCACAACATAGTTGTGCACCTACTGCCCCAAAGTAGATTTACAGGAGTCACAACTTCTTGAAACTATCAGTAAAAATTTGTGTATTTTTGCTTTGATGTATTTTTCTGAAACAAAGTCATTGCTTTTGATCTTCAGTCTCAAATGGGCCCATACTTCCAAAAAGGTACAGCTCTGCCAAGTATCCTTTTCTTAGCTCTACCTTTACCATGACTATCATTTCCAAGCCAACTCAACAAAGACCATCCCTGGATATTTCTGCTATTCCTTTATGGGGTGTGAAAGAAATGGAAGCAGGAAGGCAACAGGAGGGCAATATGGGAAAGAAAGGGGATCTAGAGTTGCAACACATCTGAATTAAAAAGTGCTTCTTGGGTTGGTTTGCTTCTGGAATCTCCATTTCTCAAGTTTCCTCTGTTGCTTGTTTATTTTAACATAGAGGAAAAATTAGAAGTGGTTTTCCTGTCTATTGAAAAACAAACCACAGAGTTCAGAATTTTTTCAGTGTTAAATTTGGGTAAATTCACCATATTTTGTTTCACTCAAAGCCCACTACGATGATTATTTCAGTCAGTTAAACTTATAAGGAGTCCTCTTGTCTGAGACTGGAGAAACCCCAAGAGTCTGGCCCCCGGACACCCTTTTAACTCAGTACTGAAGTCACTCTTAAAACAAAACAAGACTAAATGGACACACCAGACCAGGAGGAAGGAAGAAAAGGCAGGAGGGGACAGGAAAGCTGGTAATGGGGAAGCCAAGGTCAAGAAGAGTAGAGTGTTGATACATTGTAGGGTTGGCAACAAATGTTACAAAACAATATGTGTATTAATTGTTTAATGATAAACTAATTTGCTCTGTAAACCTTCATCTAAAGCACAATTTAAAAAATAAAAATAAAGTCCTCTTGTCTAGAAATATTTCCTCTACGAGAATTACATTTCCTCAAGAAGTTAAGGTAAAGGCACCAAATAATTTATTCCTAAAATTTAGCATCACATAGTAATGAAAGCCTAGAATGGTAGTGAGAGCAGTGAATGAAGGAATAGCCTTTTCTAAAGAGTTCTATTTCTAGATGTTGACCAATAGTAAATGAGAAAATAAGCCAAAATGTCACGGCCCCTTTTTTTGTAAACACTAGATCAGAGGCTGAGACACCTAGGCTTATATAGGGAATACTCCAAGGGTTGAATCTCTTCATCCTTTCCCCCTCCCACACCCACGATAAAATTGCACAGCAGAGACTCAGGGGACATCTACATCAATTGGCACAACACAGTATATAAAAGACAATGTTCTGCATCCTACTTTGGTTAGTAGCGTCTGGGGTCTTAAAAGCTTGCGAGCGGCCATCTAAGATACAACTATTGGTCTCTTCCTGTCCGGAGCAAAGGAGAGTGCAGAAAACCAAAGACTCAAGGGAGTAAATAGTCCAAAAGACTTTATGGATCACATGAACCCCAGTCTATACAACCCTGAGACCAGAAGAACTTGATGGTGCCCAGCTACCACTACCAATTGCTCTGACTGGAATCACAACAGACGATCCTGGACAGAGTGGGAGAAAATTGTCAAATAAAATATCAAATTTACAAAAAAGACCAGACTTACTGGGGTATGACAGAGACTGGAAGAACCTCCATGAGACTACTGCCATAAGACACCCTCTGACCTGGAACTGAAGTCATTCCTGAAGACCACCTCCCAGCCAAACAACAGATAAGCAAATAAGATAAACAAGAACACCCGAGGGGAATGTACTCTTAGAACAATCAATTATGCGACATCAAAAGGGCACTACCTGCCCAAAAGCAAAGATGAGAAGGCAGGAAGGTGTAGAAAATCAGGAGGAAAGAAAATACAGAATCCAGGGTGAAAATGGGGAGAGTGCTGACACATTGTGGGGAATGAAACCAAGGTCATGAAATATTTTATGTACAAACTAGTAAATGGGAAATTAATTTGTTCTGTAAACTTTCACCTAATGCACGCACACACACAAAAAATTACACAGCGGAAGTTTCCTCATTGGTCCATTACATATGGTCTGTGAATAAAACCTAATAATAGTAACAAATAATAATAGCAATATTATTAGTAGTAGCAGTAATAATAGCAGATAATTAATACGTGCCAAATACAACAACTCCATGTGGAAGAATATTATACTTTCCTTTTTTATAGACGAAGAGACTAAAGGACTAGAAATAACACTTAATTATAGTATCAGATTATCTCAGCTATTAATTTCAATCATA